TTTTTTTTTTTTCACCCCCATTTGGAGGGTAGGGGGATCCGAACCCTTGACCTTGGTGTCAGCGGCAGCATCTCTAGCTGAGTGAGTTAACCAGTCAGCCACGTAAACTCTCGAAGCCTAGTTTGTCATCTGTATGATGAGGGTAATCATGCATTTATAACAGACATGCATCTGTCAAGTGCTCTCAGGAGGAGTTAGTGATGGATAGATGAGCCTGTTCGGAGAAACGGATGTAAGGAGCTGGAGCTCGAGGAGACCGGGGCTGTGGTAGGGAGCCGGGGTGATCCTCCACCTCCCTCAGTAGGGAGGCTCACACCTGAGTCCCTATGGGCAACTCGGTAAGGAAGAGACTCTACCGAGCCTCTACCTATCAGACTGGCCCCAGCCCGCCATTCCTAAGGGCACTTGAGAGCTGTTGATCGGGGTCTTCATACCTTGTCAGTGCCTTGGCTATTGGTCCACCCATAGTAAGGGCTGTGAAGGAGACCTGAGAAATTATGCTTCTCCACAGCACCATCTTGTCGGAGAAACAAAATCAATGTACGGAGGACAGGTTCCTGCAGGGGGTGGGCATACCTGGCACCCCAACTCTGTGGAGGGCACTGTTTGCCTGAGTGTGAACATTTGGGGTCTCAGACCACTGATACCACTGCTTAGGGAGGGTTCTCTCACACAGGCCAGACCAGGGCACACAGTCCTGGTTGCTGATTATGACTTCGCCCTTGCCAGCAGAACCCAGAGAGAGTAGAGGGCCTGTCCCCAAGAGATGAGCCATGATGGCTCCTAGGCAGCCATGACAATCCTGTTCCTCTTTGCCAAATACTCAGTTTCCCAGTCTCACCTGAAATGGCAGGCGCAGGTGCCTCAGTTCTGGCCAACCAGATTTAAAGGGAAGAGTGCTGGCAGGATTCTGGGAAAGCTTTTACTTTCATGATAAAGTGGTGCAGCCTCAATCCCTTCACAGAGCTGTGGCAGCCACCTTGTGGCAAGGACGAAACAACATGCTAGGGTAGGATGGTGGAAGGATGAAAAACCTAGGTCCTTGATGAACTGACACATGTCACCCACATCCAGACTTCTTGTCAAGTGAGGAAAAATAAACTAACTACTCTTTGAGGTCCTGCAGGCCAGGTTGTGTTACTTATAGCAGAATGCATTCTTTTTTTTTTTTTTTTTTTTAAAGAGGACCGGTAAGGGGATCCTAACCCTTGACTTGGTGTTGTCAGCCCCATGCCCAGCCAGTGAGCGAACCGGCCATCCCTACATGGGATCCGAACCCGGGGCCTTGGTGTCATCAGCACCGCACTCTCCCGAGTGAGCCACTGGGCCGGCCCCGCAGAATGCATTCTTGATTGTGAGGTTTTGTGAGGATAACAGAAATAATTATCATGAAGGCCAACTCTCTGCTGTGCAGCACACTTGGGTCCCTTTTGCCTTTAGGGCCTCACCACTGACTGCAAAGCTGTTCTCAGCCTTCACTTGTATGCATTCTGCGCTCAAACATCTGCTAATCACTGTAAGGTGACTCAGGTGACTTCGGGCTGCATCTAGCTCTCCTGCATCAGCTGCCTTCTAGCCAGCAGCCTGGTGTGTAGATTCTGAGCTGGAACCAGCTTGAAACCCTTTCAATGACAGTCTGAGCTGAAGAGAAGACTCCATTGGGCAGAAAGGTGGAACGACTCCTCCTGGGCAACGTAGACAGCTTGGGCTTTGGGCCAACCTCCTGGCACGGTCCAGTGAGCACCCCCAGTCTCATACCTTTGCTCTGGGAAATGTTTACTCCAGCTTTGCCCTCCACACCCCCCTCACCCAGGCCTCACCTCCCACACTTGCAAGGATACAAGCAGGCCAAAGAATGCCACTCAAGAGGCTTTCTCCAGTTTATTTCTTTGGGAAAGGAAAACAAAAAGTCTTTCCATCACATATGGTAGAGATATATATTTAAATATATTTATATATAATTTCTTTTGTGGTTGGATGTCCCAAAGCTGAGTCGGTTCATATTTTTTTCTATTTTTCTTTTCCTACTAATACCTTCTCTTTTCCCTGCCCCAAACCCAGGTTCTGGGGCAGGTGCAGTGAGGGGTGAGTGGAATGGGCAGTGGTTGTCAGGATGGCCTCCCACTTAGCTCAGAAACCTGGTGAGGACCACCTGGAAGGGGCTGTGCTGAGGGTTAGAGGCCACAAAGAGGGGCACTCCTGTTTTTGTGGGGGATGCACAGCTCATTAAACAGTCACCAGTTATGTGAGGAGGCTGGTCTGGGGCTGAGAGACTTGCTCACAGTAGTTGCCAGCTCTCTCCACCCTGCCCCCCAAACTCAGAGTTGGGGGTGGAAGAGAGAGTGAAAAAGAGAGAAATACAAGGGCTGAGCGCCAAGCCTCCTCCAATCTTTATTGCTGGTGAATTAGAAATTTGCTTTTCCCTTCCTGTCTGGAGGAGACGGACTCTGAGAGGGCCCCGAGAGGAAGAAGTGACATTAGCTGTCCCAACCCCTATTGATGGCCATGCCAGGCCTACTCTGGGGGGCAAATGCTGGGCCACCTCAGAGCCCTGAGAACGGAGGGGTCAGTGTTCCTCTCAGGTCAGCCTTGATCTTCAAGTGCAATCACATCCAACCCTTTCCTTGCCCCCAAAACAAGGGCCTCAGGCTCAGACTTGGGCCAGTGGAGCTGGGAAATGGGCAGTGCACCAAAGGTCAAGCAGAATTTTCTACTGGAAGAAAAGGTGAGACTTTGGAGAAGAGGCGGCCTGGAAGGATGATGTTCTGAGCATGAAAGCAGGAGACTAGGGGAATCAAGTGGGGGAAGACATAGGAAGACATCACAGACACTCATCTGACCTCAGCAACTGGGCAAGGGGAGTGCCTGAGAGGCAGGTAGCACTTAATAGCTGTATTAAGTGAACAGTGGTCCTGGGTGTGGGGTCAGCCAAGCAGATGGGCTGTTGCCCTGCAGGATCCTGGCCAGAAGGGTGAGGATAGAGCTGAGAAGCCTCCAGGTGACCCTTCCCAAGAACAGGAGAGCAGATCTTCCCTGGGTGGCTGAGCTTCCAAACCCCAGCCTTCCCTTCCCCCAATACACATATATGAACACACACTCAGGACCAAGCCAAGCTCTGAGGCCTGAGCCCAAGAGACCTTTGAGGGGAGGGGCTGGGCAGGTAGCCCTCTCAACCACAGGCAGGCCATCTGCTCCCACTTGTCCTGCCAGTCTGCCCGGGGGAGGAGAATACTGCAGGAAAGAGGGAAGCCAGGAGCCCAGGGTCTGTCAGCCTCAGCAGACCTGTGCAGGCCCTCCCAGGCTCCATGGCCTAGGGGGTGAGCACACAGAGCATCACTGGACACAAGGTGGCCAACAATAGCAGCCCAGGCCCCCAGAGGGGCTTAGACACCTCACGGCACTGCAGGCCTGCTGCCTCCATCTCCAACAAGGGGTATCAAGAAGGGGAGCATGACTCTCCTGCTGCCTGGGCCCTCATCCCCACTCACTCTGCCTTCCCTCCATTCCCTCCTTGGAAGGAGGGTCCGAGGGGGCTGCCCACAGGGGCAGTACTGGGGTGGGAGGGCGCCCGAGGGGGCAGGGAGGAGCCTGGTCACAGCTGCTTTGAGAACCTCTTTGGTCTGGGGATATGGGGCACATGGGGAGAATGATGGAGGGTGGGGGATACTGGGGATTCTGGCCTTTTGACAGGACATTTGTCAGAAGGCCGCGTGTCCGGGTCGAGGGTCAGATTTCTGTGGACTCAATGCGCTCGAGGCGAGAGGGGGTCCAGGCTTTCTTCTCCTCGCCATGTTGGGGGGTGGGCGTGCTCGCGCCCCCCGCGGCCCCGCGCTCCCGCAGCCGCCGCTCCAGTTGCTGGTTGCGCTGGTACATCTCCACGTAACTCAGCTGCAGCTGCTTCTGGTACTCGATGACCTTCTCCTTCTCCTCCAGCCACACACGGCGCTCCTCCGCGAAGCTGGCACCCTGACGCTCCCGGGCCCGCCGCTCGGCCGCCAGCTCGGCCTGCAGCCGCCCCACCTCCCGCCGCAGGGCCCGCGTCCCGCTCTCCCCCCCAGCCTCCGCCTCCCCATCCACCGAGGCCAAGGAGGCGGCGGCGGCCACCCCGGCCTGGCGGCGCATCTTGGCCTCGTCGCTCTCGCAGGTGGCCAGTGCATCCTGCGGCTCGGCGGGGTCTACGGGGGTCAGCGCCGGCTTGAGGCAGGCAGCGGGCAGCTCGCCCTCGCCCAGCTCCAGGCTGGCCTGCTTGCTGCCGAAGGAGTCCCTCAGGCTGAGCAGCTGCTCCTCCTTCTCCCGCAGTGAGGCCCGGCCCTCCCGCAGCTGCGAGCGCAGCCCCACTATCTCACTCAACTTCTGCGACACGTCGGCCTGCGAGTCCTTCAGCTGCTGCTTCAGGAGGGAAATCTCACCGGCCTTCTGACACACCTGGGCAGGGGCAGGCGGGAGGAGAAGCCAGGGTAAGGGCAGGCACTGCTCAGCCCGACCCAACCCCCATATCTAGCGCCAGAGGCACCACACTTCCCCAGGGCTCAGGATCAGTCCCTCCCCATCAGACTGCAGAAATGACACACAGGGCTCCTTGCTCAGACTCAGAACAGATGTGGCTAATCTCACACAGCCCAGGGATGGCCTCTGGTCCTCCCAGGCACTTCTACTTGATTTTGTCCCCGCTCCTCCTCTCACTCCCCCTTGTGATGGTGGTGACCCATTGCTCTGTGGTTCTTCAAAGGGACCGAAGGAAGGGGAGCAGGGAAATGACCCAAGCCCCCAGCCCGCACCTCCCACTTAGTTTCCTCCATCCGGGGCAGGAAGTCAGCCTGCTCCTTCTGGCAGGCGGCCACCTTGTCCTCCAGCTCTTCACGCTGCCGCATCAGCCGCGCTGCCTCCTCCTGCAGTTGCTTCTTGTCCTGCTGCAGCCTCAGCACCTGCAGCTGCAGGCCCTGCTGGGCACGCTGGGCACGGCGGGCCACCTGCTGCAGCTTCCCGCTGCACCCCTGCCGCAGCTCGGCCAGCTCCCGCTCCCATGCCTTCTGCCGCTCCTCCAACACCTGGGCCACCGCCGCCTCACTCTGCTCCAGGCTACGCCGCAGAGCTGCTACCTCCTGCTCCTTCTCCCACAGCCGCTCCTCTAGCTCCTGGATCAGTGCACTAGGCGAGGGCGGTGAGCAGGCTGCAAAAGGCAGGCCTCCCCCTCCGCCTTCCCCAGATCCCAGGTGGCCTGGCCGCCCCATGGATGATGAAGACCCACTCTTGCTGGAGGCCCGCCCACTGTCGGAAGTCCCCAGGTCCTGGTAGCCCGACCCCCCACCACTGCTGCCACCACTGCCACTACCATAGCTGGCAGTGCCGATTCGGTTGATGTGGCTGGTGGAGGCACTGAGGGGTGCCAGGTGCTGGCTGTAGCTGGAGCTGTAGGTGGGCAGGCTTGTGAGTGAGTTCCGGCCTGAGTCTGAGAGGCCGCCCCCACTCCCGCCTGCTGGGGTCATGGTCCGAGACTTGTCCAGCCCGCCCTTGAGGCCACCAGGGCCCTGCCGTCCCTCAGGAGTCCCATTGGTCTGAGGGGGACACAAATTCTGCATGGAGTGGAAATTCTTGGGTACAACAGGCTTGAAGGCCGATGGCCGAACTAGTGGCTCTGAGCACTGCAGAAAAGTAAGGAAGGGGGAGTGGGCATCAGGATGAGGCCTCAGCCTCAGCTCCAGCCTTTCCTCTAGCCACAACTTTTTCAGCTCCACCTCGCACCCCTTATTGGATCTCCATTCTGAAGTCCCCCATCTGGGTCTCCACCTCATGCCTCACCCCAAGGCAGGTTTCTGACCTGGATCCACCACCTGGACTTGGCCCCAGAACCCCACTCTATGGCTCCCCAGCCCAGCCTCCATCCTAGCCCCTACAATGCAACCTCCAAGAAAGCCCACTTTGCCCTCCTCTCTGGGCTGCCTCCCACCCCCAGAAAAAGGCTGTGAAGGTCTGAGGCACTGGGGACTGACCTGATCTAGTTTGCCAGAGGTGGCCAGGAGCTTGGGTGGGTGGCTGGGTTCACGATACTGTGGTGGGGCCTTGTCACTGCCACCACTGCTGCTGCTGCCCCCACTGCTGCCCACCACATTGCCACAAACATCTGTGTGGTCACTGCCCTGCAGCTCGCCATTGAGGTAGAGGGAGTTGGCAAGAGCCTTGTCCTCTGAGGGGTAGCGGCCTGGCCTCTCCCTGCTGGCCCCACTGCCACGGGGACCAGGAAAACTACCCTGGCTGCCCCCACCCCCTGTGCGGGTGCCCACACTCTTCATGGCGAATTCTTGGGCATGAGACACCCCACTGCCCACACTGCCCATGGCCAGGCGGGGGTCTGGGGGTCCAAGCTCAGAGGGCCGTGGGGCAAAGGCCAGAAGAGGATCACGCCCTGGGTCAGCGCGTACAGGGAGTGTCTCCAGCTTCGCCATGACTAAGCCAGGGGGGGCACTGTGGGCAGAGGTGGAAAGACAGAGATAGGTCAGACACCACCCCCTCTCCCACCACCCTACCCAAGTCAACCCCAGCATCACCCTGCCTCTCAGTGTCCCCTTCTCTACAATGGGTACAAGAGTTCTCAGGCATCCAAGGTGAAGGAATAGGATGTCTTCTGGGGTAAGAGTGATAGCTTGGTATGGGGGACTGCCTGTTGTTCACCTGATAAAGCCCAACCCCCAGGGCATCATGCACATACTCTCCCAGCTTTGCTCAGCTCAGTATTCCACGTCCCAACTTCTTCCTCCACCCCCCCCCCATGAGCCTCTCAGACTCAATGACCCCCTTAACTCTTTCCTGCAACCTCCCAAATTTGAGGATTTTTTACCCTGGGTCTGGGCTGGGAGATGGGGTCAGAAGGGGAGAGCACTACCTGAATCCAAGAGGGAACCTCAGAAGTTAGGGAAGGGAGAGAAACAGGCCACGACTCAAAAATTGTGGGTGGGGGTCCTTCCCAGCCCCCTAACCTAGGATGTTGCAGTCAAGGGCGGAAGTAGAAGCTCACTACCAGCGCAGGCCTCTCTCCTTGCCTTTCCAAGTGGGTGGAAGGCTGACGGGTCCTCAAGCCTGGGACCTTCCGAGGCCCGGTCTGCAGGGGCCATGTGCCTCACTCCGGCAGTCGAGGCTTGGCCCAAACCAGCTGCGCGACTTTGGACGGGTCGACTGAGCCATCCCGGACTGCAGTTTTCTCCTCTGCGAAATGGGAGGAACGAAGNGGGGCAAAGGCCAGAAGAGGATCACGCCCTGGGTCAGCGCGTACAGGGAGTGTCTCCAGCTTCGCCATGACTAAGCCAGGGGGGGCACTGTGGGCAGAGGTGGAAAGACAGAGATAGGTCAGACACCACCCCCTCTCCCACCACCCTACCCAAGTCAACCCCAGCATCACCCTGCCTCTCAGTGTCCCCTTCTCTACAATGGGTACAAGAGTTCTCAGGCATCCAAGGTGAAGGAATAGGATGTCTTCTGGGGTAAGAGTGATAGCTTGGTATGGGGGACTGCCTGTTGTTCACCTGATAAAGCCCAACCCCCAGGGCATCATGCACATACTCTCCCAGCTTTGCTCAGCTCAGTATTCCATTTCCCAACTTCTTCCTCCACCCCCCCCCATGAGCCTCTCAGACTCAATGACCCCCTTAACTCTTTCCTGCAACCTCCCAAATTTGAGGATTTTTTTACCCTGGGCCTGGGCTGGGAGATGGGGTCAGAAGGGGAGAGCACTACCTGAATCCAAGAGGGAACCTCAGAAGTTAGGGAAGGGAGAGAAACAGGCCACGACTCAAAAATTGTGGGTGGGGGTCCTTCCCAGCCCCCTAACCTAGGATGTTGCAGTCAAGGGCGGAAGTAGAAGCTCACTACCAGCGCAGGCCTCTCTCCTTGCCTTTCCAAGTGGGTGGAAGGCTGACGGGTCCTCAAGCCTGGGACCTTCCGAGGCCCGGTCTGCAGGGGCCATGTGCCTCACTCCGGCAGTCGAGGCTTGGCCCAAACCAGCTGCGCGACTTTGGACGGGTCGACTGAGCCATCCCGGACTGCAGTTTTCTCCTCTGCGAAATGGGAGGAACGAAGGACCTACCTCCCGGAGCTGCCACGTGCCAGGCGTCCAGAAGCGGCGGGCACTGGAGGGAACGGGGGTCTTGTGGGGCGGGTTGGGCGGGAGCTGCCGCTGCAGCGCGCATCTGGGTCGTCGGTGAGCACTGCCACCGCCACGCCCCTACCAACCCCCCTCGCCCCCACGCGGAAGAAGTGAGGCCGCGGCTGCAGCAGGTGGCAAGGGAGCCCTCCCGGAAGTCTTTCCAACTCGGCTGCACGGGGGCCTGGCACTAGAGGGCCGCCTCCCTGAGGTCAGTACTGCGCAGAGGTCCGCGGGCTGGCTGTGGCAGGGGCAGAGGACTCAGTGCCGCCAGCTGCGGGCGCTGGTGGAGCCTCCCTCCGGGCCTGCGTTTCCCACAGGTGGGGGGGAGGGGCCTCCGCACCCCGAGGCGCGCCAGAGGATCCCGCGCCAGCCAACCCCCCTAAGAATTCACTGCCACCAGGAAGACTTCCTGGATTACTCCCCTCCCCGGCGCCCTGTCGACCTTGACCCTGCTCAGTTACCGTGAAGTCCTCCGAGCCCTTCTGCAGGTGTGCGCCCCCCTCCCCCAGGGCCGGGCCACAGGAGCGGGAGAGCAAGGCCTCGGGTTACCTGTGCTCAGGGAGGCCCCGCTTCCTGGTTCCTTTGTCTCAAGTCCGCACCGCACCCGGGAACACCTGGCCCAGAGAGCCGCATAATCCAGCCAGGCAGGGGCACCTGGCAGTGCCTGCCGCGGGATAGACGCCAGAGATGGGAGGGGGCGCCTTCAGGCCTCTACTTCCTACTCCTTCCAGAAACCAGGCAGGAAGCCCTCTCCCTATCGAGATGAAGGGGTCCACATGTGCTCCACAGACCGTCGTGTACCAAGATGTCCAGTTCTAATGCTGTGTCCTTCCTATCAGGCCCCAGACCAAGGGAGCTGACAAAACTCTTGCCCTTCAGGAGTCTCTGGCCACCACGCCAGGAATTACAGCCCTAGCTGGTTGGCAAGTTCCAAGCCAAGTCCACCGCCTTTCTAGAATTCCATTCTCTCAGCGTCAGTTCCCACAGGTGTGGAGAACAGCACTTTGCCTCCTCCCTTTGGCCAGTCTGTCCCCATATGCAGGGCTGGGAAAAGGGGAGGCAAGAGAGGCATCTAGGATATGAGTGAGGTGCAGGCTCAGCGGGTGCACTACCCTGAGGGTGAAGACCTCCTTAAATTTTGTGCTCTAGGTGCCTCCCCTGCCTACCCCTAGTCTCTGCTCTGCCTCCACCGCCCACCATACTCCAGCCTGCCAACCCTCGGCCTGGAAACCCCCCTCCTACCTTAAACATGCCCCCTTCTCTCACCATCCCTGGGTGCAATGTAGGGAGCAGCTGGGGACTGGGAAGATGGAGGCTGAATGGTCTGAGGCTTGGAACCAGTGGGAAGGCCTGGGTTGAGTTTGAGGAAGAACTGGCAAGACCTCATATAGACGGGGTTCAGGTGGTGGGGCAGGGGAGGAGTCTGAGCTAGGGCAACAGGGTGGGTGTGACACCCTTAATATGACAGGGAGAGACTACTTTGGGTAAATAGGTGCTTTGGGGGAGACCAGAGAAAGATACCTCTCATGCACTGGATGGAGCGAGAGACCAGGATCATCAGCATTCATGGGTGGTGTGGGTGGGACCCAGCATTGAGCTAGGGTGGAGGAGCCCCAGAAGTCTGGGAGGCAGTGTGGGAGCAGGAAGAAGGCCAGAACGAGGTGGGCCCTGCAGGCAAAGATGGGATGCTTCAAGAATGTGGGGGCAGCTCACAGTGTTAAAAAGAAAGGGGCCAGGTAAACCTGGAATTGAAGTGTGCCCTGGATTTGGCAGCTGGAGACATCGCTGGTGTCTACATCAGAACGGTTTCAGAGAAGTGTTGCAAAGCAAAGGCAGACCACAGGGTAGAGGAGTGAAGGGAGAGAGAGATGGCAGAGTTCCCTGCTAAAAGAGGAGGCCAGAGAGGGCAGTGATTGAAGGAGGTTTGGGATCCAAGGGCTTTTTTAATTTTAAAAAAGTGAGTGTGTTGATATGCTGAGGGAAAGTGCCAGTAGTGAGATGAAAGATCTACACAAGGGGGCTAGCAGAGGGGGCTCACCAGAGACCTGGGTGTGGGCAGGAACAAACCTCAGAGGTGATCATATTGATTGTGAGTGACAGAGGGTAGTGTCCAGGATAGTGCTTTGTAAACTGTAAGGTACAGTATGAACATGCAGCACTACAGTCTCTGAGATCCAGGAAAGGAGAATCTGACCACAGGTTGGGGCTGGTCGTATGCCCCTCTGCCCCACCGTTTCCCTAGAGTGTGTGTGGTCCCCAGCCAGGCTCAGATGCCCAGAGCCCTGGATGGAAATGAGGTCCCAGGACCATTGTCCTGAGCCTCCTTTCCCTGTGCTCTGCCTAGGGAGTCCTTAATTATCAACCCACAGAAGCTTTCCCTGGAGACTCGATCCCCAAAGAGCTTCTCACCATAATTCTAACCTGTCATGGTCAACAGCTTGCAAGCATACCCTGCCCTTGCCTCTTCCAAACTTGGATTGCTGCAGCTTCTTTCCTCAAAACCCCAGTAGGGGGCTGGCAGGACAAAAAGGGAAATATGTTTCCCTGATAAGCAGAAACTGAGCCAAGAGAAAGGGTTTGAGCTTTGTCTGTGGGTCAGGGTCCTGAACTGGCCCAGGTAACTGAGTGTGGTCTGCAAAGGCAGCCTCATGGCATCAGTGCAACACCCTGGGATGACAGCCTGTTGCCCAACTCTGCCCCCATCCCTCTCCCATCAGCCCTCAGTGCCTGGGACATTACACACAGTATTAGCAATCACAAGGAGAACAAATGGACTCTACCTGGGGGTCCCTACAACCCACTGGGCTGCTGGTGAATGGTGACCACCTAGCCCCTCCTCAGCTGTGTCCCTCCCAAAGTGAGAAACACTTGAGGTCTCAGAGGCACCAAACCCAGCCCATTCCACCTCCTAAAGATCTCAGCAGCTCCTCCTGCCAGCACCCTTGCTGGGGGCTTCTCACTGGCCTTTCTTCTCCTGCACTCCTTCGCCTGAGCAGCTGCCAGGGGACTCTTTCTAAAGGGCAAAACCAATCTTGTCCCTGCTCTGCCCAAATCCTCCCATGAGCAGGGCCAAGTGCAGTAGATGGAGTTCTGTCAGCATCAGCTCCAAATGTAAATCCCAACTCTATTGACTAGGGGTGGAGCCTCATGCAGGTTATTTCACCTCCGGCTCTCACACCTACCTTGCAGGAACTTTAAGTAAATGTATTATGGTAAAACGCCTGGTATTCCTCTTGAGCCCCAGAACTAGAGCAGAGCTTGCAGTAGGGTCCGCAAGTCCCCGCATAATACCCATCCTATATCTCCCCTGACCTAAGCCCCTCTCCACTTCACATACAACCTCTTGTCAAGTTCTCTGTGCCCATCCTACATCTTTCTAGAAATAGTCCAAATACTGCCTCCCAGGACAGCATCCCTGATCGCCCTGGGGGGTCTTGAAGCACTTGGCTCAGGACACTCCAGGGATATTTCACTCTAAGGTGTCCCCTGGGTTGGCCTGTTGGTGCCCCAGGTGCACAGATGGCAGAGTCCTGGGGGTCTCTGGCCCTGTCATCAAGGAAATACAGGACGAATGTGTGTGGGAATGCTAGTTATGAGCAATGCAAAGAGGTAATGAAATCAGGCAGGGAAGTCAGGAAGGGCTTCCACGAAGAAGGACTGAGAGAGGAAAGAGATTCGGGGGCACAGTAGGGCTTTTGGGGTGCAGAGATCCCTATAACTTCTTGGTTGGGATGTATGAGAGGAGATCCATCTTCCCTTGGCGGCGTGGGCGCCAGCGGGGAAAGGGGCCCATCCCCTAGATCATGGCTCTGATGAAGCCGGTGTTTCAGGACTGAGGGGGCCGACAGCGCCCCCCCCAACCTGAGCGCACACACACGCGCACACATGAGCCTCCGCTGGAGGTGGGGAGGTCGCCATTCACCAGCAGCCCACGGCCCGCAGCGCTAACAGATAGAGACCCCTGCCACAGACCGTCGGAAGAGGTGCTCGGGGATTTCTGCGGTGGGGGAAATCCCTCCCGAACCTCCCTAGGCTCCCCACCAACGCGTGTGGCCTCGGGGGG